AGCCAATCGACAGCTGGTCAAGAGGAATCGGCCGTCGTATTCTGGTGGAACCGACCTTCGAATCTCTTCAACCAACACTTCCACTCGAAATGGAAGTAGGCTTAACCAAAAATATAACTTTGCTTCATCAACAGTCCCATCACAGAATGTGATATGATAAGATGCCTGACCTTCCTTGAATTTTACATTTGCCCTGTGAGCCAATGGCAATCGTGGCACTCTGGCGTAGTGGTTATCGTGTCGAGAGTATATGCTGCACTGTCATGGCTCGAGTCTCGCTGGGGGTCGAAAGGGCAGTCCACTCCTGTCTGGAAGAGAATACTTTTGGGAAAGCAAGGCTTTGCGAAATGCACTGGAAGCGTATGCTTTACTCATATCATTGTATGAAATCAACTACCAGTCCTTCATCACCTTAAACAAAATAGGCTGAATACGCCTCATACAGATAACGGTGCCTATTGTCATGAAAACTACAAGTTTGCCACATCGACAGTCCCTCTATACATTTGATTTGGAAAGAAGCTGACTCGCATTTACAGTCGGCTTTACTCTTTGACTCACTGGCACTCATGGATGTCTTGTTTTATGGTATCTGACTGCTGTGACATTGGCGAGTTTGAAACGACAATTCAGCCTCGAAGAGAAATGAGATTAAACGGTATCTTGTAGTCTAATCATATCATTATAAAAAAATTTCACTATAAGTCCTTAGATTTCCCTCTGTGATGCCTAAGTGGGAATGAGTGCTCATTTAAACAAAATGCCCTAAAGTCTTAGTTTGAAGATGCATCGAGTTCTTTTCAGAATGCCTGTGTCATGCCTTTTCCTTGGCAGGAAACCGAGTCTCACACTTGTACTCGCAGACAGGAGGCAATTTGTGCACACATCCAACCTGAGATATGTGAATAATGTTCTCGAAGAATTGCCCAGCTGTACGACGTTATGAGATACTTTTTCTCCGTCTTTACAATCTTACCTATGCCTCTTGTGAATTATCATATTCAGTAATATCGGCCCTTTTGACTGTCGTCCTCCTTAACTTAACTAGAATCACTTTTTTTCTTTTGTAGTCTTTCAGCAAACACTCTTGATAACATGAACGTGGACGTCAAGGCACTCAGGGCATTTCGCGTCTTGCGGCCACTCCGGCTTGTTTCCGGCATGCCGAGTAGGTTCAAACGCTCGTTTGGTGTTTTCCACATGTTTTTGGAGTCTTTCTCCTTTTTTTGTTAATCTTATGTTCTCTTTTGGACGCGTTCTTTTGTTGTGCTAACAACGTCGTTGAGGGTCTATTTCACCTTTGCAACATCGGCTGTCAGCACAGATGCTGACATAAAAACACCAAAATGCATACTTTCCCTGTCAGCCACATGCTGTAGGGGATGTTGAGAATTGCAATAAGACATCTTCGTTTTATGACAGTCATGTCTGTGAGGGCTACAGCCCCGAACCATTGGCTTCTCCTTCTCTTGGTGGCCTGCTGCTGTTGGTTTTCTACCTCACCTTTGGATACATTTAAACGACCAAAGAGCAAGAGGTCTAGTCAAAGCCGATTAAATTTAGCTTTGCTTTCTTATTAATGTCTAAGAACTGGATTTTGAAGACTTCTTTGATAATTCCAATTAATTTTACCATCAATTTTGTATGCTAAGTTTAGTAAAATAGATTTGCAGATTCGCTTCGCCGTAAACGGAGGCGCAATTGCCTTGCAAATGTGATTGTCGATTGATATCGCAAAGTCCTCGGTCTATCGTCTATCTCATCCTGACAGACGGTACAATCATCCTTCTTCGCTCCGCGTTGTGTTCTATTCACGAAGAACTTCCACTTAGCCTTTTTAAGAAATGAAATCTCCAATAGCAAGCCATTTTATTCATAATTTTTACTATGTAGTGGTTCATCCATTAGATTTGCCATTACCGGTCGCATATGAGCCTGTTTTTTTCTATGACTCGAACTCTTTTAATTCAATTTTTCTGCTTCCTACTCCGACCTCTGTCCTGGACTTATTTTGTGCACTTTTCTTTGATCATACTCATACAGTAAAAGCCAATTTCAACGAAGCCTGCCAGTAAAATGTATTAATTTTCTTTTCTTCCTTCATCCTCACACAGGTTTGCAGGTGGTGTTGAATTCAATTCTGACTGCTATGCTGCCACTATTCCATATCTTCCTTCTTGTCGTCTTTGTCATCATTGTGTACGCGATAGTCGGTCTCGAGCTATTCCAAAGCAAGCTCCACAGGACCTGCTACACCAACATCAGTGGAAAGGGTAATACATGTTCTGTTGTAATGCCTATTCAAGTCACTCGGATTCACGAGACGAGTGACGTATGCCAAAGGAGTCAAGGGCTTAAATGCTTAATTGTTGAGTTTACTTTCATTTCGAGTGGAAGTGTTGGGTGAAGAGATTCGAAGGTCGGTTCC